GAGGTGGAGCATATTGATGTTGAATTGCGTACCCCAGATGAAGTCGAAGAAGACGTAGAAGATGTTGTCGAAGATGAGGAGACTGATAATTACTACCTGCTAGCAAGAGACAGGTTAATGAGAGTCATCAAGCCACCTCAGAGACTTGAGTATGCAGATCTTATAGCTTATGCCTTAATTTCTGCAGGTGAGGTTCTAAATGAAGAACCTAGAGATTATAAGGAAGTTATGAGGATTCGAAAGAAGACTGAATGGCTGAAGGCCATGGATGATGAGATGAAATCTCTTCATGATAACAACACCTAGGAACTAATCAAGAAACCTGCTGGAGCTAGGTTAGTCAGTTGTAAATGGATTTTCAAAGTTAAGGAAGGAATCACAGGAGTGACGTCGAAGAGATACCAAGCAAGGTTGGTTTCTAGAAAGTTCACTCAAAAAGAAGGTATCGACTTCAATGATGTATTTTGTCCTATTGTGAAGCACATATCTATTCAAATGTTTCTTGCCACAACGGCACAATTCGACCTTGAACTAGAACATATGGATGTGAAGATTGCGTTCTTGTATGGTGACTTAGATGAAATAATCCCGATGAGGCAACCTAAAGGGTATGTCGAAAAAAGGAAGGAAGATTATGTGTGCAAGCTGAATAGATTCTTATATGGACTAAAACAATCTCCTCGACAGTGGAATAAGAGATTTGACAAGTTCGTGGCACGCATAAGTTTCATCAGAAGTCAGTTCGACCACTGTGTTTACTTCAAATTTTGATCGGGTAATTCAATTGTTATTTTGTTGCTCTATGTGGATGATATTCTAATAGCAAGCAACAATGTCGAAGAAATAATGATCGCGAAGGCTAAACTCAATAAGGAGTTCAACATGAAGGATCTGAGAGCTGCGTCCAGGATTCTTGGGATTGACATCCGAAGAGATAGAAAGCAGTCGAAATTATGCTTATCTCAAGAGGCATACCTATGGAAGATTCTCGAAAAGTATGGTATGTCGAATTCAAAGCCCATCGTAACTTCGACAAACCCTCAATTCAAGTTAAGTATACATCAGTGTCCCAACACTGATGTTGAAAGAACTTATATGAATAGTATTCTATATGCTAATATAGTGGGTTCTTTGATGTATGCTATGGTCTGTACTAGACCCGACATAGCATATGCAGTAAGTCTTGTAAGCATGTACATTACGAATCTTGGAAAGGCTCACTGACAAACATTGAAGTGGATTCTAAGGTACATAAATAGGTCTCTGAATAAAGTCCTAATTTATGGTAGAGCCTTGGGTGAAGATAGTAAAGCAGCAATCGAAAGATATGTCGACTCTGATTATGTAGGTTGTATGGATTCCAGAAAGTCTATTTCTAGATATGTGTTACTATGTTTGGGACAACAATTAGTTGGAAAGCTACACTTCAGAAGGTTGTTGCCTTATCAACCACTAAAGTGGAATATATTGCACTAACTGAAGCTGTGAAGGAAGCATTGTGGCTTAAAGGTTTTACAAAGAAGCTAAAACTTCAAAGTCGAGTTATCACTGTTAAATGTGATAGTCAAAGTGAAATACACCTGTCGAAAAATTCAGCTTATCATGAGCGAACTAAGCACATTGATGTAAGAATCATAATGTCGGGGCTTCAGGCCTGTTAGCCCTTGGCTTCGGGGAACGCCTCTCCTTCCGGGGTGGTGATCTTGCTCGTTTCTTAGAGGTCACTCGTTGGGGCTGCGCCAGCTGTGGTCGACGCCCCCACGATCGTCGAGAGGGGCTCCGGGAGCTCCCTCGCTGATTTCTTCGTGGAGGAGAGCGGGAAGATGTGTCGTGTTCCAGCGCGCCGATGCACTCATTCTATTGGAACAACATCTGGTTTGTCTGGTTGATGGCCGCGAAGAGAGCGGTTATCGTCGGGTGTTCCCCAGCCGGCGTGGGGATGGGTTGGAATACTGTCGGGCTCCTCGCCAGAGGAACAACGTGATGTGCAACGTCCTCGGATGAAGGGGAGACAGTCTAGCCGTCTCTGACGTGGGTCTCGCGGGGTTGAGATGTCCCCGGCTTGTTATCGCCGTTGGTGATCGGGGCGACGGCGGAACTGTGGACATCGTCGTCGTGACGTGGGCTAGTCATGATCTTGGAATTTGAAAAGAGAAAGCTTTGGTTCTCTGCTCGGAGGAACGAGGAAGCTTAGGTTCCCACAGACGGCGCCACTGATATAACCTGATCAGGTGGGGACCAATGACCTGCCACGCGTCGTTGATCTGCAAGCTGCTCCCTTGTGCCCGACATTAGGCAATTTGGGCCTTCCCCAAATAGCGTTAGGCTGGGTCTGCCCGACGGATGGGTAGGCCTGGGCCCAATCCAAAACAATAATATTCAAACCTTACTTTATTTTTACACTTTATTTTTTATTATGTTAAAATATATATTATTATTTTTCATGAAAAAATAACTAATATAAAAAAATTATATTAATATATTCTTTAAAAAAATTTACACCAAAACACTTCTTAAATTTAAAAAAAAAATTACATTAATAATTTATAATAAACAAATTTGTTAGTTAATGAATTAACTCTAAATTATATTTGTCTTCTAAATATATCAAACAAAGTATATAGATATTTTAATAATATATAAATAAAATTTATCAAAAATATTGTTAGACATATTAACTTATTTAAACACTTTTTTCCTCTCAATTTTTTTGGTGGTTTAAATTTCTCATTTTATCTTAAAGTTTATTGAGAAAATTATAAATTTCATGTTGATTATAGATAAAGTATTAAAAAAATTTATATAAAGTAATACTTTTCATCTTACAAATTAATTTTTGTAAGTTTAAGTTAAATTAAATTCTAATATAATATCAAATTATATCGATTAGACTTTAGACCGTTTACCAATTAAATTTATACATCAAATTTAAAAAAGTGTTGAGCGTGAAAATATGTATTGATAACAATTCAAATTATATATTAATTAAAGATAAAGCATTAAAATAATTTATATAAAATAATATTTTTTTTTACGAATCAATTTTATAAGAATGAACTATCTTAAACTCCCATAAAACTTTTAAAGTTTAGTTATTTTAGAAAACTAAAATACAACGAATTTTTTCCAATACACCCTAAAAAATAATAGCATACGTCTTCAATTCTATTATTATATTTTATTTATCACCTATCATAAACTTTAAATTACTAATACATACATTCATTATGCTACAAAAAAAACATACACCTCCATTAAAGAAGAATTAGTTAATAGTAGTAACAATAAAGCTTCTGAAAATTTAATAAATCATAAGTTATTTAAAAATTAAAAAAAACAGTGTTTTAACCCAAAATAAAATAAAATCAAAGTACAATTATTAGTTTTGAATACTTTTGAATAAATTATTATTTTAAAATCCATATATTAAAATTTAAACCACCAAACTTGTGGGGGAGAGATTAGTACTTTCCTTAATCTTGTAAAAAATATCATAGGTCACTTATATTATTGTGTCTAATTAAGGAAGGACCCGTCCATTTCATGTTCATTTTTTATTTTCAATTTGGCTTCTTAATTCTTGTCCTTATGTTAACATTAAATAAATTATTTTAAACAAACTTTTTTGTGGCGTTTATGCACTGAATTAGTCGGTGGCATGCCTTCATTTTTATTTTATATTTTCTATGGGGCTTTTTGTCCTACATAATAGATTCAACTCATGGCAATTAAAAAAATTCAATTAAACAGCTTTTGATTTCATTCAAATCATTACCAGATGATAAATATACTACTATTTTCTTATCTATAGCCCTGGAATGTGAATTGAGCTCAAATGTGTTCAAAATGTTAAAACAAATTTTTCATACGATTATAATCATTAAAAATTCACGCAAACATGGGGAAAGTCAATATTCAAATTCTAATTTAAAAATTCTAATTTGTATTTAAATTTTCACTCTCTAATTTAAAAAAAATGAATCTTGGTAATTTAGAATTCAGTTTGAGAGATCATAAACCTAAACATTATTTTAATTAGAAATCGAATTTCGTATTCTCTAAATTTTAATTTCTTAACAAAAACTTATTTATTATTTATCACTCGAGTCAAAATATTTTCAGAAAATATGATTCAAATCTATTTATGAAAAACGGTATCTTATGACGTTTTGACACACAGAAAATAACATCACTGGATTCTCAAATTTCAAAAGGATCATGTGATAGGCAAGTATTTGAAAACTATCCCTAGTTTCAACTTCAATTAGTGTCGGTTTCTCTAAACAGAAGTTCAAAAAAATATCTTTTTGTTAAAAAAAACGTATTTTAAAACTCAACTTAAAGACCCTAACACGATATTGCGATATTAATAATAATTTTAAAAAATAATTAAATTAAATATAATTACATGTGAATATGATATCTGATATATACACAAACATATATACAATTTTTTTTCCAAAGTATGAATGCTATATATGATCATATAATAATTATAATAATTAGTGACGTGGTTAGAACTTGTTTAAGTGATAACCAATAATTAAACTGTAATTAAAATTAGGAAAATGCTAACGAATGCCTTTAGGGCATTGATTAAGAGATTAAAATGGTAAGTTTGATATTATTTAAGAGATTGAAAATACATTTTTTTTTAAATATATGTGTATTCAATGTCCTGAAAAGAGAAAGGAAAGAGCCTTATATTTTATTAATAAACAAAATGATAAATTGAAAGAAGCGTTAATTTAACCAATCATATATATTATTATACGGTAACATAATGCTGATTTATGAGAATTTTTTCTTGTATCAGACACATTTACAATATCAATATGACTAGAAAAAAAAACTTTAAATGAAAAAAGAAAAGAAAAATTTACAGCACACACCTGTGGTCAGAAGTAACGACATGTTTCTGACCAAAATTCACGTTGGAAATGTCGGCATCGATCTCTCTCTTTCTTTTGTTTGAAATTTGATTCCACTTACGTGTGAAACTAAAGTGTCTGTCCAAAAGCGAGTGAGAATCTCTGAAAATCTTTGTTGTTGTTGCTATATATATCTGAATTATTATGAATGAATCCCATTTCTTGTTTAATCTCATCATCACTGTAGATTGTCGTACTATGATGCTGTTGAAGTGTGATGTTGTTGTCGTTGTTGTTTCCGAGAAAAAATGGAGTAGTGTTTAGATATTCAGACCATTTAATGTCTTCTATTACTTGATGATGATCTTGATCAATAAAGTTAATGTTGCATACACTGCTTCCATTGCTGCTTTTGCTTGCGGCGTTATTGGTGTTGTTACTGAATTCCCAGTTCTGAATAGACTGAAACATGGTTGAAGAATTGAGTTCAGACATGGAAGTTGAACCGCCATTAGTACTCGGTATGAAACAAAGTGAACTGTTGTTGCTGTTGTTGTTGTTATTGGAATTTGGTGATAGAGCTATGTTATTGATTCCATAGTTAACTTGTTGAAAAGACAGATATGATGGAGATGATGATCCTAATCCAACCATGTTTTCAGAAGATATGAAACTCGAAGAATTATTGTTGATTTTTGAATTCATTTCGACTGGATAATTGCAGTTATTATCCTTTGGTGTTTCGAAAAGATTCACTTCATTGGATCCAACAGAACTTTTCTGAATCTGTATCTGCTTATTGCTTTTCTCAGTCTCAACTTGCTTCTCTTTGTCATTGTTTTCAACTAATTCGGAAATCGGCTGGTGTGTGTTTGGATCAATTCCTTTTTGTCTCAGCTTCTTCTTCAAATTTGAATTCCATAAGTTCTTTATCTCATTATCAGTTCTTCCGGGTAACTGAGCTGCAATCTGCGACCACCTGGTAATCATATATACAATTCAGTTAGTTTAGCCCTTATCGTTTCGATTCGTTTATAAACAAAAACTAAGGTATATACATACCTGTTGCCGAGAAGTGCATGAAGTTCAATTATAGAATTTTCTTCTTCTTCTGAAAATGCTCCTCTCTTCAAATCAGGTCTAAGGTAATTTATCCATCTCAATCTACAACTCTTACCACATCTCTGCAAACCTGACATTATTAATAACAAGTTAGAAATTAAATTGGTTCTTGAAATATGTAACTAAATAATATATATATATATATAGTTTATTACCAGCTAGTTTTGGAACTGAACTCCAACATCCATGGCCATGTTTGGTGATATAATTCAAGAGCTTTTCATCTTCTTCTGGAGACCAAAGACCTTTCCGAAGCTTCTGCTTATAGCAACAAGAGTGTCTTCCCATGTGCACTTTCTTGAATTAACCTCAATCAAATGTTTTTTTTAAAGATTTATGTGTCAGAACTTTGTGTATTATATAGAAGTTAATAAAATAAATTGACAAGTTTGATAGAGAATGAAATAAATTGAAGGAGCCTATAAAGAGATGAAGAAAAAGATGTGATAGGACATTGTGATTTTGAATTTATATATCTGACTTTCTAAATTCACGAGACATTCCACATAATACTACTTTAGGATGGGTCCATTATTTTTTAACGGTTGTGATTTGTTTCTTGAAGATATTGGATGGATGAGATGGGATCAGACATTATCACATGGGTTTGACTTATGCGTGAATGTCCTACTGGCAAAGAAACATTTTGTTCTAATTCATTCATTTGTGTTAAAAAAAGTATTTAAAAAAAGTTTTATAATTTTTTTTTGGAAAAAAAATACTATTACTACATATAGTATTGAAATTTGGGTTTTTTTTATTAGGAAATAATATATTTGTTATGCTAAACAGTTGTCAAATTTTTATATCAAAAAGTTATGTACTCTTGTAAGTTGTAAGACGGTGAACAAAATCTAGTTGATAGCTATATATGTCAATTTTCAGAATGTAAAATTTATAGTCTTTTTTTTTTTTTTTACATGTAACTATTAAAATTAATAATTTAAAGTATTAAAAAATTTAGTCAATTTTTTAAATCTTGTTCTCTATCTTTTCTAGACCATATAGTTGTTATCTCGTGAGTTTGAAACCTATATATATAGTCTAAGAGATTAAGACAAGAACTTTGTATGGAATTTCAAGGAGTGACTTGGCCTAGTGGAAGGCTAATTGAAGATTAGTAATATATTAATTGCAAAGAACCCACAAGTTTAGAGAAAGGAGAATTTTTTGTGTTGAAGTAAAGGCATGAGAAGGGCAAAGTAATCAAACAAAGTATAGTGCATTAAATTTGAGGATACCAAAACTTTATCTTAGGTTATTTTTGTATTCATTGGTGATAACACTTTAAATTTTGAAAACTCTATAGACCTTTCCTTTTCTTGTCTAACTTTTTCTGCCATAGATACTCTTTGGTAAAAGAGTGGTATTCTCTTCTTTTTGGCTTTTAGGGATAATTTGCAATGCTCTTTTTCAAAAGCATTATCCTTTGGAAAATTTTCATATTTTGGGTTTAAATACAAAATTACTTTTGACATATGAGTGAGTTAAGGTCTTATTTCTTTTTATAGGAATTGCTGAGAATTCAATCAACTTGCCAAATTATTCATAATACTAACAATTTTTAAATCAATCAATCAATCTCTCTCTCTCTCTCTCTCTCTCTCTCTCTCTCTCTCTCTCTCTCTCTCTCTCTCTCTCTCTCTCTCTCTCTCTCTCTCTCTCTCTCTCTCTCTCTCTCTCTCTCTCTCTCTCTCTCTCTCTCTCTCTCTCTCTCTCTCTCTCTCTCTCTCTCTCTCTCTCTCTCTCTCTCTCTCTCTCTCTCTCTCTCTCTCTCTCTCTCATATATATATATAATTTTTTTTTAATTTCATTTATAAAAAAAATTATTTTTTAAGTTTATTAAATAAACAATGTATTTGAATTATACAATAGATCAGATATATTGATTATTCAATAAATTTAAAAAAAATCAATTTTTTATTTATAAATAGAACCAAAAAGAGTATTAGATATTAATTTTAAATTGTTTTTTTATCTAGTTTAATTGATCAATATTAATAGTTTGAATATTTTATCTTGAGTTCGAATTTGATATCTTGGATTAGTAATTATTTTTATTTTGTTTCTCAATAATTTTTTATACTAATGTAGCACTTTCTCTTTTCTTATTGAAACAAATACTTGTGTTTCTGAAATATATTTCAGGTTAGATTATTTTGAATGATTAATTGATAATATATTAATGAAATATAGATATTTTAAAAGCGACATGTAAAGTTTTTTGTTTTTCATTCGCTATATTTTTTAATTGTTGAATTGTCAATTTTCTTTTTCTAATTTAGATTTTTGTCAAAAATTTTAAATATTTTTTAAGAATTATTCAAAAACTTTCTCGTTCAAGAAATTTTTAAAGTAGTGAAAAAACCAGTATTTTATTTAGAAATTTTTAAAGTAGTGAAAAAACTAGTATTTTATTTAAGAATAGTTCTATAACTAGTACTGTTGAGAATTCAATCAACTGGCCAAATGGTTCACTATATTAATAATTTGGAAATTACTTATCTTTTTAATTAAATATGAACTTCTTAAATTTCAATATTATATTAGATATTGATTTTAAACTGTTTTTCAATCTAATTCATCTTATCAATGTTAATAGTTTGAACATTTTATCTCGGGTGAATCTAAAATTTTGAGTTTTTAATAATTAGTCATTTCACGTGTCAATAATTTATTTTAGCAAAATTGTGACTTTTTTATTCAAGCAGATGCTTGTGTTTCTTAAATATATTTAGGTTTTGTTGAGGAGTTTGGAAGGGCAAGAAAGGGAAAGACTTTTAAAAAAGTAAAAGGAAAGAATGGAGTAAAAATATAAAGTTTTGTTGGATTTAGGCTCACTTTTTAGGTTGAGAAAAGTCTAAAGATGATTAGTTTATTTGTCTTACTAATTTAAATGGAGATGATCAATTTAGGGTTGAGAGAGATAGAGAAAAAAAATAAGAATTCAAAAGAGAAAAAAGAGAAGAGAAATTCATTATCGTTTTTCTACAATCAGTCTCACTAAATCAACGATCTTTGATTCGTTAACCGTTGAATCAAGCTCAAATTTAGTGGGCAGGTTCGTAATTCATATATCTAATTTTTGACAGTTCATAATTTTAATACAACGTCTGAGGTGAAAGTTATTTGCTTCGCACTGAAGCTGCAAATTTGAGAAACATTTTTAACTTTTTTATTCTTATTTGTAACCTAATTTGCTTTATGATTTGCGGTTGTTAGCACTAGTTTGTGAATCACTTTAAGACTTTCTTATACCCTTAATTGATTATAGTAGAGTTATTTCTTTGGTTTGGACGACTCATGGTTTTTAATTTCATATTGAGAGTTTTTCCACGTTAAAATATTGATGTTCTTTTGTGCCTTTATTTGTTCAATTTGTCGTCTTATATTTGTTATTGATCCTCAAGATTCCTACAAGTTTGAGGAATTTTATATCTAGTGCATATTGATCTATTATTGTGTCTTAATTTCCTATCAAAGTGGCATCAAAGCTCTTGGTTAAGGGTTATTTTACTTGTTTGAATGATGGAGTCAAATACAAAGATGAAGATGTATTGTTGAATGGTTCTAATTATCATTTATGGAAAGGTAAGATGAAAGACTTACTATTTGCGAAGAAATTGCATTTACTGATTTTTAGTTCTGCAAAGTCGAATTCTATGTCTGATGAAAAATGAGAGTTTGAACATCAGCAGGTATGTGGTTTTATCCGACAATATGTAGAGAATAATGTTTATAATCATATTGCTAATGAGACACATGCCAAAACTTTGTGGGAGAAGATAAAGTCCTTGTATGCTTCTAAATCAGAGAATAATAAATTGTTCTTATTGAATCACTTCATAAGTTTGAAGTATAAAGAGGGGACTTCTATTTCAGATCACTTGAGTGAATTTCAAGGCCTTTTGATCAGATGTCAGAAATGAGTATCAAATTTGATGATAAACTTTTGGAACTATTTCTATTGCTATCTTTACCAGAGTCTTGGGAGACATTTTGAGTTTCTATCACAAGTTCTGCTCCTAGAGGTGTTGTTTCTTTGGAAATGGCTCAGGGTGGTATTCTTAATGAGGAGATGAGAAGAAAGGCACAAGGTTCTTCATCTCAACCTGAGATACTTGCCACTAAAAATAGGGGGAGAAGTCATAAAAATGAACTGAAGGGTGGTAGAGAGAATAGCAGAAGCAAGTTCAAGTCGCGATACAAGAATCTGGAGTGTCATTATTGTCACAAAATAGGACATGTACATAAGTATTACTATCGATGGAAAAGAGATAACAAAAGCAATAAGAGTAAGTCTAAACAAAGATACCATGAAGATCATGATGATAATCGTGTTACTACTGCTACTAGTGATGATCTTGTTATTCTTCATGATCATGAGTCTGTTAATCTAGTATCAGAGGAGAGCATGTGAATAGTTGACAGTGGTGCTACACCAAGGAAGGATTTATTCACATCTTATACTTCTACTGTTTTTGGAGTGTTGAAGATGGGTAATGATGGTGTATCTAAGATAATTGGTGTTGGTGATGTTTGCTTGCAAACCAACATGAGAATGCAATTGTTGCTTAGAGGTGTCAAACATGCTCCAGATGTCCGCTTTAATTTGATCTCTGTGCATATGCTAGATGATTGTGGTTATGATAATCACTTTGGTTCTGGAAAGTGGAAACTCAACAAAGGTAACTTGGTTGTGGCTAGAGAGGAAAAGCTTTCTAAATTGTATTGAACAAAAGCTTTGGTTGTTAGGGACAGCGTGAATGTTATCGACATGGAAGCATCTTTGTGGCACCGAAGACTTAGTCATATTAGTGAAAAGGGGCTGAATATTTTGGAAAAAAGGATGTTCTTCCTGGATGCTCTTATTGCATGGCTGGTAAACAAACTAGAGTATCTTTCAAGAGGCATCCTCCCTCAAGGAAGTCAAAGTTGCTTCAATTGGTACATTACGATATTTGTGGTTCATTAAAGGTAAAACACTTTAGTGGTGCATTTTATTTTGTTACCTTTATTGATGATTGCTCCAGGAAATTATGGATTTATGCCTTAAAGGCAAAAGACCAGGTTCTGGAAAAGTTCAAACAATTTCATGCGTTGGTTGAGAGGCAGACAAGCAAGAAGTTGAAACGTGTTTGTTCAAACAATGGTGGAGAGTATTGTGGACCATTTGATTCCTATTGCGAACAACATGGTATTGTACATGAAAAGACTCCTTCTAAAACTCCTCAATTGAATGGTTTAGCAGAGAGGATGAATCGAACACTAATTGAGAGAGTAAGGTG